GGGAAGCTTTTTGTTGCAGATCTATTCCACTAGATATCGCTCAAAATGCTACAAATCGGAATTTGCCACACATTTTCTTAGAATCCGACATATAATGCGCATTTGAGTCCCAGTAAACTAAAAAATCATCACAAAAAATTCAGGACCCTCTTACAACTGCACCATATTTAGGTCGAAAAGTTCATGTAGAGCTGCTTACACAAAAGTGTTATCAAAAGTAAAATAGAGCAACAGCCATCATACTCGGATCCAATTCTAGAATTGATGGTCCTGTTTCAACTAAAAGCTAGGATCACTATGCCAAAAGGGTCGACAATATGTTATTGTTTGGTTATTTTAGATTTGGCATGGTGAATTTTTGTTCGTTGTAAGCACTACTAACCCCAAATAAACTTCCCTCATCCAAAGCATTTGTTGCTACAAACGGTTTCATTAACTGAGAAATTGCTGAACAATTGAACTGTGGAAATTGACGCTGATATGTGTAGCAACGTTATTCGCCTTGATTCCTGTTCTCTCATAACAATTTTTTTAAATGAGAGAAGGCACTTCCGCATAAACTTAAAAAAATCAATGGGATTTTCGAAAATCCCTCTGCAAGTGTCGCATTTCTCTGCGCGCTCTTCGGCGAGAGGGAAGTCGTAGCCGAACCCGGAGATAGTGCGGCACAGCTGCGAGGGTAGACCCGCTACGCTCTAGTTTCATCGGTTTTAACCCAGTATCACAAGGTACTAAGGGCGTCCGACCTTCCCTTGCGGTTGCGTCGAAAACCTTAATTTTTGGATCGCTTTTCTGGGGTTATCCGGAAGAGCAAGAAAATCAGTGAAAAGGAAGTGTGGGAGGAGTGGGATATTTTTCACTTTGACGTGAATACTGCTCCACGCTTACAATCGCTGCTCATTCATTTTAGATATAAAAGATCGAAACGATATGAAGAACTACTTTCAAAATTAGTATGGTTGCCATTACTACGATTAGAAGCCATTTCATTCAGTAGCATAGTTTCCTCCTCATAGAAAAAGCTGAACAAGTCTTTACTAGGTGGTAAAAGCTTGATTCCCCTTGTATTCGTTTTCTAAAATCAAGAAAATTGAATGGACTTCATGTATGACGATGTAATCATGGTTCATAAACTTCTTTGTTTGAAAAGGAAAGTGCTCATTGCTGATGTTAATGGGAGACTGAATATGTTGCTTGCGTAATTTATTACTCATCACAATCGCCAAATGGAAGCACAAGTTTCGCATGGCTTCAAAAAAATCAATTTAGCCTTTCGAAAATCCGCTGTGCAAGCGTCGCACTTCTCTGTGCGCTCTAGAGCGAGAGGGAAGTCGTAGCCGAACACCTGCATAGTGCGACACAGCTGCGAGGGTAGACTCGCTCCGCAGTTTTGTTGTCGGTTTTAACCCAGTATCTCAAGGTACTAAGGGCGTCCGACCTTCCCTTGCGGTTGCGTCGAAAACCTTAATTTTTGGATCGCTTTCCTGGGGTTATCCGGGAGAGCAGCAAGCAAAGATATAAATGTCGTTTAGGTCATATGGGTTTTCGTAATATGCATCAAAGCTGCAAGGGTTAGATGTATGGCATCCAATTTGGCTTTCCAATACAGGTAGTTCACAAGAAACCTGAAAAAGAACTACCAACAATTTATCGCCTTCCTCCCGCCAAATCAATACGGTTGGATTAAGGCGCACACAAACTTTGAAGTAGCCGAGAGTTATGAAGATACC